AAAACAAGTTAGACATCCTCTACTTTGTTGTTGCAAGTTTTACGTGGCTGCTACGGGCTTCTAGCAAGGACCGTTCTTACCTACGCATCAAAACCACAACGATTTTTCGTCAAGTGTGTTGTTTTAACCTTCAACAAGGACCGGCCGTAATCAAACTCGATTCAACTAAAGTTGGAGAAAAAGACACCCGCCAGCCACCTATATGCAAAGCATGTCGGTAGAACCAGTCTTATGAACGCAGTCATGTAATGTCGGTCCGGGCCGCTTCATCCAACAATACCGCCGAATCAAAGTAAGATGTTGGTGGTAAGCAGTATGACTATTATTGCCCACAATTCTTTATGTTCTACTCGTGCATAAAACATCTATGCATATACCTGGCTCTGATACCGCTATTGGGGAATGTAGTAATTCAAAAAAAATCCTAGGATCGCACAAGATCTATCTAGGAGATGCATAGCAACGAGATGGGAGAGTGTGTCTACATACCCTTGTAGACCGAAAGCAGAAGTGTTTAGTAACATGGTTGATGTAGTCGAACGTCTTCACGATCCAACCGATCCAAGTACCGAACGTACGACACCTCCGTGTTCAGCACACGTTCAGCATGATGGTGTCCCTCGAGCTCTTGATCCAGTTGAGGACGAGGGAGAGATCCATCAGCACGATGGCGTGGCGACGGTGTTGATGATGTTACTGACGCAGGGCTTTGCCTAAGCACTACTACGATATGACCGAGGTGTTAAATTGTGGAGGGGGCACCGCACACGGCTAACAGATTGTCTGGTGTGCTTTGGTGTGCTCCCCTGCCCCTGTATACAAAGGAGGGAGGAGGCCGGCGGCCAGGAGGGGCGCGCCTATAGGGGGAGTCCAACTAGGATTCCCAATCCTAGTTGGAGTCCTCTTCCTTTTTCCAAGAGGGGGAGAGAGGGAAGGAGTAGGAGAGGGAGAAGGAAAGAAGGGGGCGCCACCCCCTCCCTAGTCCAATTCGGATCTGCCTTGGGGGGTGGGGTGTGGCCACCCTGTGGCCCTCCTCTCCTTTACTAAAGCCCATTAAGGCCCACTACTTTCCCCGGGGGGTTCCGGTAACCTCCTCGTACTCCGAAAAATGTCCGAACTCTTCCGAAACCTTATCGGTGCCCGAACATAACCTTCCAATATATCAATCTTTATGTCTCGACCATTTCGAGACTCCTTTTCATGTATGTGATCTCATCCGGGACTCCGAACAAACTTCGGTCATCAAAAACACATAACTCTTAATACAAATCATCATCGAACGTTAAGCATGCGGACCCTACGGGTTCGAGAACTATGTAGACATGATCGAGACACATCTCCGATCAATAACCAATAGCGCAACCTGGATGCTCGTATTGGCTCATATATATTCTACGAAGATCTTTATCGGTCAAACCGCACAATAACATACGTTGTTCCCTCTATCATCGGTATGTTACTTGCCCGAGATTCGATCGTCGGTATCATCATACCTAGTTCAATATCATTATCGACAAGTCTCTTTACTCGTTCTGTAATGCTTCATCCCGCAACTAACTCATTAGTCACATTGTTTGCAAGGCTTATAGTGATGAGCAGTACTGAGAGGGGCCAGAGATACCTCTCCGATACACGGAGTGACAAATCATATTCTCGATCTATGCCAACCCAACAAACACCTTCAGAGACACCTGTAGAGCATCTTTATAATCACCCAATTATGTTGTGACGTTTGATAGCACACAAGGTGTTCATCCGGTATTCGGGAGTTGCATAATCTCATAGTCTGAGGAACATGTATAAGTCATGAAGAAAGCAGTAGCAATGAAACTATAATGATCATAATGCTAAGCTAACGGATGGATCTTGTCCATCACATCATTCTCCTAATGATGTGATCCTGTTCATCAAATGACAACACATGTCTATGGTTAGGAAACATAACCATATTTGATTAACGAGCTAGTCAAGTAGAGGCATACTAGGGAAACTATGTATTGTCTATGTATTCACACATGTACTAAATTTCCGGTTAATACAATTCTAGCATGAATAATAAACATTTATCATGATATAAGAAAATATAAATAACAACTTTATTATTGCCTCTAGGGCATATTTCCTTCAAAAGCATGTTGTGAAGTAATTTGGAATGGAGGCGAGCATGAAGTTTATGAAGGTAAGACGGCCGCCCCAGGACGGATACATGGCAAGCCACCCAGATAGTCTTTTGTCAACCTTGTGAATAACTGGCATCAACAGCTCATGTGAGATCTTGTGAGTGGAGAGAGGCAACCCCAAATATGTGCATGGGAAAGAAGAGATCGAGCATTCCAGCAGCTCTGCTACCCTCTGGCTTGTGGTGTCATCCATACATATTGGGATGAACGTACTCTTGCTAAAGTTAATGTGTAGCCCAGTGAAGCTAGAAAAAGCGCTTAAAATCCTTTTGATGAAGCTTGCTCATAACTACCTTGAAGCAATAACCGTGTATCATCCACGTATTGCCACACCGAAAAATGCCCTTCCACAGCAAGGGGGTGCTTCAAACTGCCCCTGTTATATTCAGATATGCATAGTTTCTGTAGGAGATCCTCCGCAAGGATGAAGAGGTATGGGGAGAACGCATCTCCTTGTCGCAGCCCACTCCGAGAGATAATTTTGTCGCCTAGCTGGCCATTAATCATAACTCTTGAGGAGCTAGAATGTAGCAATGTGCTAATCCATTTTATCCATCTATCACCGAACCCCCTTGCTGCTAGGATTTGTAGGAGGGCATCCTAGCTAACACTGTCAAAATCCCTTTGGAAATCTAATTTTAACACAATCATAGGCATTTTCCTCTTAGCTTGCTGCACCATTTCGGCTGCAAGGACAAAAATTTCTACAATGCATCTCCCTGGCAGAAAACCGGATTGTAGCGGGTGCACCAATGTAGGGATTATTTTCTGTAACCGTCCGTAAGAGCTTTGGTTGTCAGTTTTGGAACACTGTGCACTAGAGATATTGGCGCCCTCCTTGTTAAGCTTTCTTCAGTGGCGTACTACTGGTTGCAGCTTCCGTCATCTATGGTTGTAGCTTTTACCGTTGCTAGTGGCAGTTTCCGCGGTGCCCGGTTGCAGCATCGGTCGTCCCCGACGACGTACATGATCCGGAGGTATGTGGTGCAAGGATAACGGCAGCGGATGGTGGCCGCTCACAACGTCGCCGGCAGCCTCGCGGGTATAGTTTTTTTTGGCAGAGGGTATGGTATCACGCTTTGTGGCATGTCTTGGTAGCTTGGAGCATGGATAAGAGCTTGCGGCGGCAGAGCTATGGGGCGGAGGGCGACTTGGCGGTACGTAGCCAAGGGGAGGGCGTCGTTCCGCGGCGGCGGCGGCTTGCCGGTGTGGAGTCAGGGGAGGGAGGGGCCGGGTTGCGAGGCGGATGGTTTCATCGGATTCTTGATTTGAAGTCAGGAAGACAAGAGAGAGACACAAGCGAGACATAGTCTCAGACGCACCATGAGACTGGATCGCACGATGTGTGTGTGACCGGCGGATCGTTGGGCCGGTGCCCCTCGTTAAACATTTCCCTTTCTAGAAAGAAAAGAAGAGGAAAAAAGCTACACTCACCTTAGCACGACGACTTCCCGACTGTCTACTACAACAAGTTGTGTCCGATTCTGGCGAGGGAGGGACGATGATGGCGGCACGCCTTCGCCTGGCTTTAGTGCTTGTAATCGTCGCTAACTGGTCTATGAATCTGGATGTAATTTTTATTATTTCTGGTATTTATTGTACTGTCATGATTTAAGATGAATAGGTCGACAGTTTCCCGTAAAAAAACAAGCTAAGCATGCGTCACAAACGCCGGAAGGCGATCGCTGGAAGGCCCCTATCTCACGGCTCACCTGGATGCATCGCCGCGGCCGTTCACATGGCACGCCGCACGGCACAATCCATTTTCCCCATGCCTCCGATTTCCGGGTGGAGGAGATCGTGTCACCAATGGACTTCAATAAAAGTACCCCAACAGGCGACGTGTCACCTGAGAGCAAGTATAATAAGTCCTACTCAGCAGGCTATAAGACTTGCCATGTCATAAAAATCATAGGTGAAAGAGAGAGAAGTGAGGAGAGAAAGCAGAGCCGGCGCTTGAGTAGTCGCCCGCCTGTACGCAAGATACGAGGCACAGTAGCTCGCTTGCAGCCTGAGCTGCTAGCTGTAAACTGGCGCTCTGCCTTTCCCCCCAATCCCAGCATGTAAATATTAATTGTTAAATCCAATCCATCAGCCAATCTATAGCTATCCTATTATATGGTCTTAGCTTTATGAAGACTATAGATGATATGAACATGGCTATGCCTATAGAGCCGGCTGCTGCCTCTTTTATTAACCATGCTCTGAAAGTAAAAAACATCGCAATAACTCAGTGCTGAGTTCCCAAAAATTGCCCAGCAGTGCTCAGTGCCGAGTACAAGGCGCACTAGCTGGACATGTCTATACCTGCGCAAACATCCAAGATCAAACGCAATTGCATCTGGAGCAGTATCCGGAAAAATGCCAAACCTAGCATGAAAAAGTGATTATTGCTCATTATTAATTTTGTTCTTCTGGGGTACTACTCCAGTAAATATTGGCACTAAATTCTCATTCTCGCCAGCTGTGACCCCCCGCACTCGCACTGAGATTCGAGAATTGGTTGTATGAACCCAACAGCAGTAATAAATAACTTGAAAGAAACAGCGTACGCGGCCGCTCAAGAACTGCGGCCTTTTTCCTGCGAGAAGCGACGCGACGTCACGCCCACGAGTTCGTCGCTCGGCGTCGTCACGCACGCCGCGCGCCGGCCTTCTCCCCCGTTCGTGTTCGCACAACCAGCAGATAGATCTTCCGATCTCCAAGCGCACAACAAGCAGAAAGATATTCCTGCGGATATCGCGGCGGAAGTCCCGGCCGTTTCAAATTTGGCTGGGAGAGCGACGCCGCATTGACCCGCCGCTCCGATCGCCGCGTGCCATGATCATGGCGGCTCGCGCAGCTCCTCCCGTCCTACTGCTGCTCTTGTTCTTCCTCGTGACGGCGTCCCTGCTCGCCGTCGATGCGTCAGGTGCGTAACTTCCTTCCGTCTTCCTTTCCATGGATCGCGCTCGCGGAATCGTCTTTGAGAAATTAAAAACGCGCAAGTCGAGAGGTGTGTGACTTTGGTGGGTGGGGTCATGTGCAGCGGCGGCGTCGGCGCCCGGCGTGAACTCCCCGTTCGTGCTCGCGGCGGCGCGGACGCAGCGGAAGGACCCGCTCGACGGGCTGAGGTACTACACCGGCGGCTGGAACATCAGCAGCGAGCACTACTGGGCCGTGAGTTCTCGTCCTGAAAATTCTTGATCCGTCGCCTGCCGCCCGCAGTTGTTGGTAAATTTCAATTCTGGATGCATTCCGGTTCCTAAATCTTGCTGTTGCTTCCGCGATGCAATCCTGCAGTCGGTGGGCTTCAGCGCGGCGCCGGTCTTCGCGGCGGCCGGAGTCTGGTTCGCCGTGTTCGGCGCCGCCCTGTTCGTCGCCGGGTGCTGCTACTGCTGCTGCCCCAGCCGCAGCACCTCCTACTCCCGCGTGGCCCTGGTCGTCTCGCTCCTGCTCCTCCTCGCCTTCACGGCCGCCGCCGCGTAATTCTCTTTCGCCCGATCACCTCGCCGCCGTTTCCTCTCCCGCAACCCCCGCCGCTCTCTCCTAACCATAACCAGGCTTCGGTGCGTGTGCGCGTTGCAGCATCGGATGCGCCGTCCTGTACGACGGGCAGGGCCGGTTCCATGGCAGCACGGCGGCGACGGTGGACTACGTGGTGAAGCAGTCGGGCTACACGGTGGACAACCTGCGGGCCTTCTCCGGGTTCCTGGAGGCTGCCAAGGCGGCCGGCGTGGGGCCCGTCTCGCTGCCCGACGACCTCAAGGGGAGGATCGACGGCGTCGTGCGCAGGGTGAGCTCCGCCTCCGACGAGCTCGCGTCCCGCACCGCCAGCAACTCCGCCAAGATCCGAGACGCGCTGGACACAATGTACGTCACTGAAACAACAGTACCCGTTTGTTCCTTGCCTGAAATTTCAAGAAACTTATGAAACATTTCCATCCCAAAATGAAGAACCACCGCTAATTAACTAGTAATTTGCTGCCGCGTTGCAGAAGGAAGATCCTCATTGTTCTTGCAGCTGGGATGCTAATCCTCGCCTTCGCTGGCCTTGGTGAGCAGCACTGGCCGCTGAATCTTTAACTGAAATATTATTCTGCTTCCGCTGCGATGAAATGATCTGAAGAACTTGTGTATCTTGCAGTGTTCTCGGCGTGTGGATTGGAGTCGCTGGTCTACGTGTAAGCATAGTTAATCTAATCTATTGTAAACTAGCTGCATGCGGTGTGAGACTTGGGTGTTAAGCTAATAAGATTGCACGACTGACTGTTCGTCCGTCTGTCTGCAGGTTGGTGTTCCTCGGGTGGATTCTGGTTGCGGCAACGTTCGTGATGTGCGGCACGTTCCTCCTCCTGCACAAGTAAGCGCGCCACCAACCTCACCTCAATTCCTCACGCAAGAAGTGCAGCAGTGACATATGTTTTTCTTTCAGCGTGGTGGGGGACACGTGCGTGGCGATGGGCGAGTGGGTGCGGCGCCCGCAGGAGCACACGGCGCTGGACGACATCCTGCCGTGCGTCGACACGGCGGCCGCCACGGAGGCGCTCGGCCGGAGCAAGGAGGTGAACTACCGCCTCGTGGACGTGCTCAACGGCGTCATCTCCAACGTGACCAACCGCGACTTCCCGCCGCAGGCGCCGCTCTCGCCGCCGCTCTACTACAACCAGTCGGGGCCCCTCCTCCCGCTCCTCTGCAACCCGTACACGCCGGACCTCCGCGACCGCGCCTGCGCGCCCGGCGAGGTTGCCGGCCCGGACGCCGCGCGGCAGGCGTGGGGCGGCAGGGTGTGCCGAACGGCGGACGCTGGCGGGTCAGGGGTGTGCGTCACCGCCGGGCGATTGACGCCGTCCATGTACGCGCAGATGGTCGGCGCCGCCAACGTGAGCTACGGGCTGTCCCGCTACGGGCCGGTGCTGGTGGACCTGGCCGACTGCGCGTTCGTGCGCCGCGCGTTCCAGGCCGTCGGCGAGGACCACTGTCCCGGGCTGCGGAGGTACAGCGAGCAGGTGTACCGTGGCCTGCTGGCCGTCGCGGCCGCTGGGCTGCTCTCGGTGCTGCTGTGGGTCGTGCACTCGAGGGAGAGGCGGAAGAGGAGCGACGCCAGGGAGGTGGAGCTCATGGCGCCGCCGCCGCCCTTCAGGTACCCGCCGCTGGAGGAGAAGGCGCTGCTGCACAGCCCCAGAAGAAGGCCGTACATGTGATGTGAGCGTGCCAGCTTATTAGACAGATTGGATATCATGGTTGCTAGTCTCCAACCGGCAGGGGCTTCCTGCAGGGTTGCATTGTGCTTTGTAGCTTACTGCCAGATCGCATTAACAGTGTTGAATATGATAGCAAGGCACTAATTCAAACTTGAACCGTGAAATGGATCGGTCACCTGCAGATTTCCCGCTGCGAGCTAGTACCATATTTGTTGTGAAAAAATGCTTATGAGTAATCCAACCAAAAAATTACAAATACAAAATAAACCGGAACCTAGAAAACTGTCCGACAGCAAGAGGAACCCTGGCACTACTCCTTCGTCACAAAATAAATATTGCTGATTTAGTATTTTGGGACGGAGGAAGTATATTAGAGAGAATTTTGTCGGTAATGTTGTCAGGTGCCTCTAGGAGAGGGATAGCAAGGGAACGCTCACTAAAACCCAAATTTCCTCGTACTTTTGTTCTCCTAAAACTTTTCTCCACTAGCTCGGATATAGCCTAGGGTAGGCATTTATTGAAAAAATAGATACGTGTTGCGCTGCTTCCTGCTAGTCCGCAACTTTCCTGCCCGATCCTAACACAACAACAGTCGCTCGCCTTGCCGCTGGCCGTTCCCAGCACTGGTGACCGGCGGAATGGAAAGCCTCACTCTCGCTGGTGCAAGAGACCACCGCAAAATTGGCGCCTCAAGGATCAAAACGGCGGCATAAGGGAAAAACTTGATAGAGAGCTCTAGGCCGCCGACGTTTGTCGCCAGTCGCTCTGCCGCCACCACCCTACCATCCTTGGCCCAGTTGGCCGGTAAGCGGGACCAATGGTCGCCTCGATGCCACCTCCTCAATGTCCCATGGCATCGACGACTACCGCTTGGCCTCCTACAACTGCGTAGCCACCCCATCCACCTCCGGGGACAGAAGAACAGAAGGATCTTGACGAGAATTGGAGCGACGCCGACGTGCTCGAGGCTCACAAGGTTAGGGAAAAAAATTGTTTTGCAATTTTGCAACTGAATGATGCATGATTTGATTTTGATTGCTAGGTTTTTTTCTTTGTTATTGCAGTGAGCAAGCGAATGATGATGTAGAAGATTTCATAGAGCCAAGAGATGACGAGAAATGCTGAGAGGGAGCAGGAGGCCGAGGAGGTGGGTATGCCGGACCCCCAAACATTGAAAAGGAGGAGTAAGTCATTCAACTACAACATCGAGGAAGATGAAGCTTTTTTTTGTGCGGAGGAAGATGAAGCTTTGTGGTGGCGGCAATGGTGGTGCCGGCACGAGACCGTGAGGCCATTGTGAACTATGATTTCTTTTGGTCCACCATTTGTTTGGTGGATTTTTTGAAATGAACTTGATCATTTGGTGCCTTTTGGCACAAATTATGTTTATATTCATTGGTTTGGATGAACTTTATTTATACTTATGTTTATTTTAATACATGATGAAGTTGTTTCAATTGTTTTAGCAAACGTCGGATAACTTGGCAAAAGAAAGTTTAGGGAGTAAGTTTTAGAGAACATGCTAGATAAGATTTCGTCAAATATAACTTTTTCTGGGATGTGGAATGCGTCTCGTAATTTTTGGATAGGGAATATGCTGAGGTTCTCTAACTATCTCTTACTACCTCCGTCCGGATTTATTGGTCCCTATTATATTTCATACCAAAATTTGACCATAGATTAAAGTAACAAAATGTTCACACGTGTCATCAAACATTATATTTTTAAAAACTATGTTCAAATACAAATCCAATAAGATAATTTTTCTTAACATGCATTAACATTATGTTAGTTAAATTTTTAATCAAAATTTGATACAAACTATAAAAAGGACCTATAAACCGGGACGGGGTAGTACGAGACTAGAAGTAGAATTACATGCACTCCCAATCCTTTGTATTCGGTAATATTACCCCGTAAAAAAACAAAAACACTAACGCCCACACGTGTGGCCGTTTGCATCTCGCCCACACGCGTGGATCCGCGTCCGTTTGTGGGTGCACGAATCTTGGCATGTTTATAGTGCCACGTAGGACTGGGCTGGTGTATGGGCATTCACCCGGTCGCCTACACGTCCGTTTCACCACACGAAGGGGCCGATGTGTGGGCGTTTAGCAGTTCGCCCACACGCCAGTTTTCACTCACGCATAAGGACTGGTGTGTGTGGGCATTTGCCATCTCGCCCACACGCTCGTCTCCTCTCCTACACCCAAGCTGCTAGTTGCCATGTGTTTTGCAGTGTACATGGCAACTGCCCTAGTGTCCTTGTAAGTAGATGGCAACTTTCTTTTTTTACCCGAACATGTCAGTTGCCATGTGTTTTGTAGGGTACACGGCAACTGCCTAGTGTGCACATAAGCAGATGACAACTCTTTTTTACCCGAGTTGCCATGTGTTTTTGCATGGTACATGGCAACCGCCCTAGCATGCACGTAAGCAGATGGAACTCTTCTTTTTACATGGAAACTGCCCTAGCGTGCTTGTGAGCACATGGCAACTCTCCCAACTGCCTAGTGTTAGTAGGTGGCAACTCCTAAAATTTTGAAATCATGGAACTGCAGTAGACCAGACCATACATGGCAACTGCAGTTGAGCAACCATAGCAACTATAGATGTCCGACATAGCAACTGTAGTTCAGCGACATGGCAACTGCAGCTAAATGAACATGGAAGAGGGTCCAGACCATGGCAACTGCGGGGACGCTAGTGACTGTCACGCGGGGCGTGCGGGACCATAAGGTAGAAGGCCTGACGTACGGGTGTGTGGGTGTTATCTATTTTGCCCACACGCATGCATGTGAGAGGGACCGCGAGGAAAAAAAAGGCATATGGACATTACTTGTTTTGCCCACACGTCTAATCCTCTTAAACACTACACAAACTGTGTGGGCAGACTCCTTAACGCCCACACGTGTGGGCGTTATCGATGTCCTAAAAAAAGACATTCGCTGAAAAAGGGGTGGCAAGCGAACGCTTGATGGCAGCTTTATTTGTGAAGAGAAATCAAACGACGGCAGTTTTTAAATGAGAAATATCTTCTCTAAAGAAACTGCCACCCTCTCAAAACTAAAAACACCACCTAAAACGTTCCCGTGTGCCACCCTACCTGGCGAACGTTCGCCGGTTCATGAGCGTCCTTTTGTATTTTACACATGGCGGTTTTCATCGGTTTGGATAAACGAGACGCCATGTTTGTAGGATCTCCGTCGCCCTTTTCTGTTCACCCTCCCTCTCATCCTTGCACGCCTTCAAACAGGGAGGCAGTTGCGCTCCGCAACAAAGGCGATCACACCATGCATGCACACACTAGTGACTGATGCAGCGAGATAAACAACCAACACATCCGCGCATCCCTGGTTACTTGTTACCCCGGTTAACACAGCAGAAGCTCCCATGGCCACCGTGACCTCCTCGTCTCCCTCGTGCCCCAAGCCCAAGGCCGCCAAGCCGGCGAGGTACTGCCTGTGCGCGCCGACGACGCACCCGGGCTCGTTCCGGTGCAGGCTGCACCGCCCGACGGCGGCCAAGGCGGCGGCGGCGCCTTCTTCGGAGCCTGAGGCGGCCAAGGAATCGGCTGAGAGGAAGGAGGCGGCGGCGGCCGCCGCGCGCGCATTGCACCGGCGGGTGGCGCGGGCGCCCTGGCGGGACGCTGGGAGGATCAAGGGATTTCAGCCTGGGCCTTCCAGGCTACGGATCATGGACCGGACGGGTGAGTCGGTGCAGACTGCAGAGGACGTAGCCTCCGTCTCCGTCACATGATCAAGTGCTATATATGCGATATTTACTTTGAATCGGATCGTGTTGTAGTACGTGTTATAGCTAGTGTTTAGCTTGGCCTAGGGTTGGTTGGATGTAATGTAAAATTATTGGGAACTTTGGAGTGCCGGTTGAAGTTCGGAATAACCATCCGTGGTTCATCTTCTTTCTTTGCATTCACAAATGTGAAATGCCGTCCCTCAAAAAAAAATATGAAATGCCGTGTGGAACAATACAAGTATGGTAGGGAAGTCTCTTGGCATTTTTCAACGAAAACACGGCGGTTTCGCTTTTTCCAAACAAGGCGGACAAACTTTATGATCCGTTATTACCCTTCAGGATATCAAGCAATGATATAAGGGTTTGAACCCATGTGTCCAAAGGTACACAAGAGGCGAGATCTCGAGCCACCTTCGGGAATGGGCAATCCTTGCAACGATGAGTTGGTTTTCTTGGTAGGCATGAAATCATTTCATTCCATAGATGTGTTTGATCGACTGGATAAATAATACCCCATTCTAGAAAGGGCTGAGTTGAGTATGGTCCATTCGGACATCCTGACCTGTAGAACGCTCCAACCCGGGATCCAACACAACCACATCCAGTGGCCACTGGACAACATCAGATATAGGGTCGGACATAACGTCGAAGGTCCCGGCATGTCGGACACCTAATGCGTACCCCATTCTATAGAGCAAAGCGATATGCCTCACATTTGATCAGATAGTCTGACCCAGTGTATGACCCTGGTATGCAGCACATAACAAGGTGGAATTTGGGGGTTCTCTCTCACACGGGTGTGAGTGGTATTTGGCTAATTTTATTTGTCAACTCCCACACTTATACACGATGTATCACCTCTTTATACTATGACAT